TCTCTCTCTCTCTCTCTCTCTCTCTCTCTCTCTCTCTCTCGTGTGTTTCTTGTGTGTACAATACACACATTATGTTTCCATAAGCATACATTTTGCAAATGCATATGCCTGACACACCAGGTGGCTGGAAAACTGTTTCTAGCAGTTGCTCTTTAATTGTGCATGAGGAGAGAATTTCTGAATTTCAGCTGTGCAGAAGGGCACTCTGTGTTTTAAAATAGCTTTCCCCACCCCTTTGCCTATATCAGGATTCCCAAACTTCTGATGGCTTTTTTCTTTCTAAATAGATGTTTATGCACTTACGCATGGTGTGCAAAAAAGTGGTCAGAGAACCTTTTCTCCTCCTTCCTATACTGGCACAGGAAGAGTCATCCCATGAAATCCATGGCCATTAGCTGCAGAACAGGCAAAAGAAATACTACATAAAACCTGTGTGTTTGAAGGCAGTATATCTCTGGATCTCAATTTTGAGGTGTGGCGTAGAGAGAGGGCTGTTGTCTTACATTCTGCATGTGAAGATTCCCACAGATATACGTATTAGGTAATATCTGAAAAACAGGATGCTGAGCTGGATTGGTCTTCTTCTGCCTGCATCGCAGCAGCTTAGGGTGAAGCGCTGTGCCCTTCCAGATCCTTTTGGATAGTACAGTACTGTACCTCCTGTCACTATTGATGAGGCAAGTTTGAGCTCAGTGGAGCTCTTGGTGAAGTACCTCTGGAAGGGCACCGTTTTATATGGAAATCTCTCTCTCTGTATGTTGCCAGCTGTGGAGTGTTTGAATAATCCAGTCCCATCTTGGCACATGCAGCAGAATTATGTACCCTACGTTGCCACTGGAAGATGTCTGGAAGGCAAGCCGAGAGCCGTGCATCATTCTGGGCAACCAACGGCAAGCCTACATTGTGGGTTTCTTTCTACTTTGCGAGAAGCTGCTTTATTCCGAGTCTGATTCTTGGTCCGTCTGCTTCCAGTATTGACTGGTTAGAAGTTCTTTGGGATTTCAGACAAAAGTATTTCCCTGCTCTACATGGTCATGTGTGGGGCTGAATGTGCATCTCATGGAAAACAGCTGCTTTTGCAGCTGAGCTGTGGCCTTTCATGCAGGAACTTTTTGGTTGCATTGTGCTTCGCTGGCCGAGCAGCAGCAGCAGGAGGCTTCGCGGGGCCTGCCCAGCGCCGTCCCCCCCCGGCCCTCCCTCGCCGCCTCCCCGGCCCAGAAGGAGGCGCCTCGGGCGGGCTGGAAAGGCGACGAAGAGCCGGAGCTGCGCTACGAGCGGGCCTTCGGGGAGGACAAGAGGCTGAGGTGAGGAAAGGAAAGGGCGGGCGCGCAAAGGGCCCTGGGAGTTGTAGTCTTCGGCCCACACCCGAGGGTTTTTCATTTAAATAAGATCCACATTCATTTCAGGGCATTCCTGGGCTTTTTCTCTCTCTCGCCCTGTCCTACCTCGCAGGGCTGTCGTGGGTGGAGGAGAGCAAGAGATAATGCTGTTTTGGAGGGCCTTGGGAGGAACAGCAGGGTCCAGAGGGGAACGGATAAATAAAAAAGGGAAAATTAGGGTCGAGCGGCCCTAATAAATATATCTGCTTTTCTTCCGTAGCAAAGTGGTGACGGTGGCCAAGTCGAAGTCGTTTCGCCAGAAACACGGCAAGATCCTCCTGGAAGGCCGGCGCCTGATTGCGGACGCGCTGGCCGCCGGGGCCGTTCCTCAGATGATCTTCTTCAGCGTCATGGAGCAGTTGAGACAGCTGCCGGCGGAGAAGCTGAAGCGGGCCAAGCTCATCAAAGTGAAATTTGACGATATCAAGTCTTGGTCCGACGTCGTCACTCCTCAGGGCGTGATAGGTATGCCGTGCGAGGAGCCCCTCACTTTTAAATTTATTTACGTATGTTAATAGGTCCCTCGCTTTTCTCCTTAAGAAGGGCCCAAGTTAGCTTACGTTCTTCAAAAACTATATATAAAACAACAACAAAAATACGCAAATACAATAGGTTCCAAGTCCCCCCGTTACGTATGTTAATAGGTCCCTCGCTTTTCACCTTAAGAAGGGCCCAAAAATAACTACACAAATACAATAGGTTCCAAGTCCCCCCACAGATGCTGAAAACACGGATTATGGCAAGCCCTATTTTAATAGCAGACACTATGCACAGCATGGTGTCTGGATCCCTCTAGTAGCCAGTTCTGGTGACTTCTTTAGAAATATATATTTCTAGGATTTTTCTTCTAATATTTTTTTAAAAATATATTAAAATATTTTCTGACAGTGGATAAGTGAATCAGCAGATACCGATCCCACGGATAAAGCAGTCCCACTGTACTAAAAAAGATCACCCAAATCCCACAGGGATAGCTGGTAAACAGAAGCAGCGTCAAAACCTATTCAGCACAGCAAGGCATAAGAATCCCTTTAAGAACCCCGTTTAAATGGAATTAGTTAATTAAGGGAAACCTTGTGGATGTACTCTGAAGGAGGAGGGATCCTTAGGCTGGGCTTTTGGCTTCTGTGTGCCCAAATAAATAAATTCAAATTGAACATTCAGCAGCAAAGAGGTAGTTTTCTTCCAAGATGCTGGCAAAAGATCTTCCTGACTCTCTAAACCTCTTGGATCTCGTTTTCATCAACCTCATCCAGATGACAGATTCTTAGCAAAAATGCATAGAAAATAGGTCTCACTGGGAGCTCTTCTCTGTTGCTTGCCGTCGGCTGCCTGGCGGTCAGAGCGATCGGAGGTAAGGGGTGCCGTGGTCGGGATAGCCTGAGGAGTGGGGGTTGACACAGGAACACAGAGAGCTACCGAGGAGTGTGTTGCACCCACTGCTTAACATTTCCTGGATTTCCCAAACACTAATTCAGGCCTCTTAATCACTGCTCTGCACTTGACTGAAAACTTAATGCCTCCTTCGTCATCTTCTGCCTCTGTTCCGTCAGGAATCTTTTCCCGGCCTGATTTCTCCAAAATGGTTTACCCAGAAGTCCAGCAGCAGCACCAGCTGCCCCTCTCCCTCATCTGCGACAACATCCGTGACCCAGGAAACCTGGGCACCATCCTCAGGTCGGCAGCCGGAGCAGGTTGCAGCCGCGTGTTACTTGTCAAAGGTAAGGAACGCGGCTTCGTGATGAAAGATGCTTAGGTGACAGTAGGACTGTGATACGCACAGAGAATCGGTTCCGAGGCCCGCCTGCAGATGGAGGAAAGCACAGATAAGCAAACTCTAGAGGTACCACAGCCTCTTAGTCTGAACTGGGCAGCTTTGAGGCCTAGCCTCTCAGCCTAGCTTCCTGTTCAGAAGAAGCCTCTCAGCTCGCACTGGGGGAGGAACAGGACGCTCGGTGGGAGCTAAGGCCTAACTAGGCCTCAGGGCCTCCCAGTTCAGTCTTTTCTCGCAGGTGAGACACAGCTTGATGTCTGCAAGGTGCCTTCTCTGTCGGATAGGACTTATTAAATGGAGAATCATTGGTATTATTGGCCAGATGTCTTTTTTTAAAAAAAAACAACAACCCATGTTTACTGGACTTATTAATGACAAAATGTATATAAACTTTAGGGGAGGAACTACACAAAGCAGGGATTATTAAAATCACGTGGGCTTTAAAGAAGCACCGAAAAATGGAGACTAAATTCCCGATTTATTTATTTTTTTTACTGACCGGAGGCTGTCGCCAAGCCCTGTTAAGCAGAATCGTCGTTTTCCTTTCCCTCTCCAGGCTGCGTCGACGCCTGGGAACCTAAAGTGCTGCGCGCAGGGATGGGAGCCCACTTCTGCATCCCCGTCATTTGCGACCTGGAGTGGGAAGCCGTGCCGAGCTACCTCTTGCCGGAAACCTGCGTTTACGTGGCCGACACCTGCCAGCCGGCCCCTGAGCCGGAGGAGGAGCTGCCGCCGCTGCCGAGGTCCCCAGCCAAAGCCAGCAGCCACGGCTGGGTTTCCAGGCCCTACAATATGAAAGCCCGGCTGACCCAGTTGGATTTGGGGGCGGTTTCCGAGAGCGAGGAGGAGGAAGAAGAGGAGGAAGGCATTGACTTGGAGGTGCAGTGCTACTACGAGCCCTGGGTGGACTTCCCCGTAGCCGTGGTGATTGGAGGGGAGACCTACGGGGTGAGCAGAGAAGCCAGAGAGTTGGCCTACAGCAGGGGTGGGAAGCAGCTGCACATCCCCATCGTCCCTCACGTGAACAGTCTCAACTCGGCAATGGCCGCCAGCGTTCTCCTCTTCGAGGCCAAGAGGCAGCTGATGGAGGACCCGTCCCTCTCAACGTGCTTCCCTTCCAAGTCCCAGCTGCCTCCGTGACTCTCAGCGGGGCCTTCCAACGAAGGAGCATCCGCCACGGGAAAGCCGGTGGGGAGCCATGACACTCCCTGGCTGTCAGTGGGGTGGAGTTGCACCCTCTGTTCTGGGGTGAGGGGGTGGCTCGGTCAGAGGGGGAGACCCTAAAGGAGGGAGGGTTAAAATGCCCATCCTTGGCTGGGATTCATTGATTAGGAAAGGCGGTCAGCTAAATCTGGCTTGTGGGAAGCACCTTTAAACATTCAGCAGAACTTAAAAGTCATTGTGAAGGATATCATGCCCCTCTGGATTCCCCTAGCTGGCACGTAACCCCCCCCCCGAAAAAAAAACTAACTTTTTCAAAGTTTTTATTTATCCCCTTGTTGGAAAATAACACACTCACTTCCCTTGTTATACAGCTGCTGATGCGTGGAGAATCAATACAACAGAGCCGTTGACACCGTCTCTTTAATTTCTTAATTAAGTCCGTCTTAAGTCAGGATTCGCAGTCGCCTCCCCAGCTTGCTCTGGTTCTGTTTCCAAGGGTTGGAAAACACAGCAGGACCTTTGAGCCCGCCCACCCCACTTGTTGCGATTTCTTCAAAAGTCTGCTTTGTCATTTCTGCCCCCCCTGCCCCGAATTCCAGGCTTTCCCCGTCTCTTGAGTGTTCCAGGTTGAGCTGAATTTCCACCACATGTTTTGGAGGGCCAGGGCGGTTCGTCCTTTTGTTTCTCTGGTTTGATCGGTTTCCTGCCAGGTTGCTTTTGAGCCCAGAATCTCCAAAGGCGTCCTTGTTTTCCACAGGAAAGCGGTTGTGTCATTTTCACAGCTCCAGACAGGTCCAAAATAAATACCGGCACAAGTTGTGGCAGAGATTCCTGGGAGTTTTCGTCCATCATCATCAGGGGAGCCAAGATTGGGAACGTCACTATCTGCCCCACAGATTTTATTGTTTTGGGAAAACCAGTTGAGCAGAGAGCGCTCTTCCCATCCCTCCTACCTCAAAAACCTGTTGCCACTTGCTGGAAACATCTGTCAAATTTATTAAGCTATCTGAAAGAAGGCTTTTGTGCAACCCCCTCCAGGCTTACAAGGGTTCGTCTTTGAAGTAGCTTCATCATTTAGGGAACGTATTTGGTGATGCTGCAGTTGCAGGGTTTCTATTGTTTTGGCCATTTAGCTGTTTTTCACCAGACGGTGGCAGCAAACTGGGTGTGAAATGTGATTATCAGCAGATAATTGAATTTAAATGCATATTTTGATACTGTACTTCTAAATGAATGAGAAGTGTTTTATATATAATATCTACAGGAATGTGAAAAAGGTAATAAGAGGGAGGATGTGGTACACGATGAAGTATGGCTTATAATCTCAAACACCAAGGTACTGTATATGGGTTTCCAAGGTATGTGAACTATTCAAGGAGTGGCCTGCTGAAATCCTTTTCCTGATACGTTTTCCCCTACCTGTCAGGCTTCTGGGAGTAGGTATTTTTATGTAATTTATGCCAATCCTCCACACGGTAGTACTTGAAATTGCTTTGCGTGCCCTTAAGAAAACTGACCTCTGTGTCAGTTTTCCCACACTGTGGACTCGAAAGCTGGCTGGATAACTCGAAGAGGTTTAGAAAAGCCACGCTCGCATCTGATTCCTAGAACAGTTTTTATTACAAATGCCAATCACCATGTACAGTTTTTACAACGTCTGCATTTGCTGGAGAGGAAGGGCAGACGGACGCTCTTTAGCCGGCATAGAAACCCTAACTAACCCTAACCCCACCCCGTCTCCCCAAATTGGCTAAAAACAGCACAGTCAAAAGGCAGAGCCGCATCCGAGGAGGAATTTTTGGCCAGCTGTCCGAGGCAGGGCGTTGGTATTTTCACTAGAAACCAGTGATGGATGAAAAATAAAGGTAGAAAAATCTCGTAAGATAATTCTGGCTTTTACATTAAGGGCGCTGGGAGGCAGGTCGCTGCACCAGACTGGTTTCTGCCCTCTCGCTGCGAATAAAAACATAATCGAACCATTCAAAACTATGGAAAAGACACGTGAAATCACGAGCCGCCTCTTCTAGCTGGCTGTAGCATGCCATCACCAGGTAAAAGTCTAAGGAGTCCTATAAAACGAACCCAGTTCAAGCAAACTTCAGAGAAGCCACAAAACATGGGCTTCGTTCCGCTTTCAATCAAGTGGCAGAAAGACTGCAGGGGAAAAAACAGGTTGGGGCAAACGCTGGACTGGAGAGGAAAATATTTCAGCCCTCTAAATACTAACAGATTCAGCATGAGTTTTTGCGGCTCAAAACCCACTTCCTTTAGACCCAGGGGTGCAAACGCACGGCCCCTTATATCTATGGATTTGTCTTCCTTTGGGTCTAAAGAAGCGGGTTTTGAGCTACAAAAGTGTGCACTGGAATAAATCCGTTCGTCATGAAAGTGCCACAATACATTACCTTGCCTTTTTATTTTTATTTCTGGCCGTGGTTTTTAGGTGGTAACTCATTTCTCCTCTCCTTGTAGTGTAACTGTAAATGATGGACACAGAAACCTGAGCACAAAGGGATACCACGTGGTTTTTGGAAGCCGGAGAAGCAATGGCCAGAAATCCCAGGGAATGAAGCTGTCTGGGCGGACCCCCCACCCCATGTAGGATTTCCAAACGAACCTAAATAAGACCCATCTCGTACTCCCTGGAGAAATGCCACTGGAAAAAAACTTGGGCTTTTGCTGGTGAAAAAAGCAAAGTATTTGGTGGCAAAGTGTCCGGATGGGTTTCCAATTTCTTTCACCCTCTCAAAGCAGCCCCTGAATGTGGGCGGTTTTGAGGGGTTCCTAAGTCACGGTCTCGGGAAGTTGGGGGGTTGTCGCCCTGTTTTGCTGCGGCCAACCCTCACCCGGAGTCCCGTACACCCAGTCTGGAGCATCACAGTTGAGGAAAAGAATATCAAGAAGCTGAAATAATGTCCAGAGGAGAGCAACCAAGACTGGGGTGGTGGTGAGGTTGTGTGGCTAGAAACCAAGCCTTGGTTTGATAGCAGAACGGACTACCTCGAAAGGTGGTTTTTAAATGGTGAGTTCAGGGGCCCAGCCGTTGGGGACGTTTGTCCTGTGGTTTCTCAAACTGGAATGAGGTCAGACTAGATGACCTCCGGGATACGTTCCAAAGCTACCATCCTAATCCTACCACCCTTTTGTGTTTAAAACCGGGAAGACGCCGTCTTTCTTGAGACAGAAAAAAAAAGCCACCTTTCCCCCCACCCAGCCCCTAGATAAGCCCCTCCCCGCCATCTCCCCTCTTGGAACAGCACCTTGGAAAGAGTTTCGGAGTCGAGGAGATGCGCGTTTCAAAAAAGGCACCGCGAGACTGCAAAAAAACCCCGTTGTTTGTGCACTGGCGTTGGCCAAATCCTGGCTTTCCCCCTCACTTTCTTTTTTAAATAAGGTCTGAGCGAGGTGGGCTGGCCACCTTTCCTGCCTCTTTAGATGGGCTCAGGTTTCAGCTTGTCCACGAGAAAGTCATTCACGAAGGCTTCCACGATGTCGGGCGTGATCTCTTCCACGTCCATGACGTATTTGGCCCGGGCGGACATGTCGAGGATGGTGAGCAGAGGGGCGGCTTCCGGGAGGTTGGTGTAATCGCGCAGGGAGTCGGTCATGTCGTCCTGCGGGGCAGGAAGGTCCAGGTCATGAAACCAGCGCAGGGCCCCCCAGAAAAAAAAAAAGAAAGAAAGGAAAAAACAGAGAAAATGGTTAGCTTTCAAATCTGAGACCCCCATCCTTTGATGACAGCTCTGAAATGTACTTTCGGGGAAGCCCGGCAGATGATCCGCTTGATTTTTCCAGGCAGAACACACCAAGGATTCGTTTGCACGGGAACCAAAAAAAGTGTTTGGAGCTCTGAAAAGTTTGATTTCTGCCCTGCGGCTGCTACTTTTCTACTCGCAGGGAAGAGCATCCATCCAGCGGGCAACCTTTGGTTGTGTGACTCCTGAGCCGCTCCCTGCTTTTTCTCCTGCGTGCCGTGTGTGAAAATGGCAAGAATTCCGGGTGCATATCATCAAGCTAAAGAGGTCAGAACCTGGGAAAGTAGATCATTAAAAAAAATAAACCCACTACAAACCCCATGGTCCCTGGCCATGCTGGGCTGGGGATGCTGGGATTTGTAGTCCCTCCCCCCAAAAAAGTCGCTTTTCCAGGCTGTGCTCGGAAGCACGATCCAGAAACGGGGGATCTCGTTCCGGGAAGAGAGAATTCAGCTCTGCCTCCAAACTAACTTTCCACCAGGGAAGAAGAGGAGAGGGTTTACCTCCGAGCAGCTGGCTGCTGGAGGGGATTTCTGGAGGTCAGAAACCATGAGCTCATTCCTCTTTTTTTTTTTTTTTTCCAAAGGAGGCGGTTCTCAGATTGCCTCACCCGACACAGCCATGTGAGAGAGAGAGAAATCCCTCCAACCTCAAGGGAGGCTTCCTAAATTCCAGATTTTCTCACAGCCCTGATTTTGGTCCTGCAGTCCCGCAGCTCCCTTCGGTTTGCTTTCTCCCTTCCCTGGAAAGGATCTCTGGGGAGTTACCAAACTTTTCCTCACCCTCCGTGCTCTGCTGGTATGGCTTTCCGTCCCTCCCCCCTCTTTTTAATCCTACAATTTCCTTTCTTGGCTTCTGAAAATCTCTTAACCATTCTGCCCATTTCAAGTGATATTTCTGGAATTTGGGCCATCCTGCCGTTTGGAGGGGGGAAACAAATATACCTGGATAGTGTTAAGGATCCATTAGAGTATTCATGTAAAAGGACTCGGCTCCTTCCAAAGGGCTTATAGTTTTTAAATTAAATTTACATTCGGCTTCTCCTCGAGAGGATGTGTGTGTACTCCCTTCCTCTTATCCTGACAACAACCCTCTGAAGTTGGTTTGAGGCAAGTAAAGAGATTTGAACTCTGCTCTTTATCACTTTCTTTGGTCACTTGAATCACCTCATAGGTAGGTACTTTTCTCTCCTGTTTATTGTTTTCTTCTAAGACATTCCCTTTTTTCTGACAATATTTCTCCCACCCATACACACACCGGGAGCCGTTCTGCCTCCCGTCCATTTCAGCCCTGCCTCTTCCACAGACCACAAAATGGCGGTCGTTGAGCGCGTGACAGCCATCCGTGTCTGAACATGCAAATATTGTGTGTGGGGGGGCGGGGGGGAGGTTAGGGGAAAAAGAGGCACGGGGTGGACGGGGAAAGCCACGCCGCGGCACGGAGGATCCCCAGCAACGGGGACGGCTTGTGATTGTTTCCCGCTTCGAAAGATCCAGAGGCGTGTCGGGGAGCGCAATGGGAGATGCAGGAAGGAGCATCAATCCGCACCCAAGACAAGCATCCTCAAGAAGGCAGAGGGTGGCATTGTTCCCAACCCGTGTGGTTCCAAAACCCACATTCCCATTGTAAGCGTCTCCCCGCCTCTTCGAGAAAAAGACATTTTGCTCTTCATTTTCCCCCCACAAAATGCCACAGGTCAGTGGGTCAGCCCTGAACGCAGCTGGCGTGGGCGGTTCCCCTGCCCCCCCTTCTTTTCTGGGCGACCGACACATGCTGGTTGCATGTTTCCTGAATCCAACACCCATTTTGATTCATTTTTTTAAAAGGGGGCAAGCTGGGCCATCCCCCACCCACATCAAGAGTGTCCAAAATCCCGGGAAAGCCAGAAACCGCAGTGCCCCATCCATCAGGGCGGGTGATGTGGGGTGGCAACCCCTTTTCCCTCCACCCCACGGCGTCTCGCCTGTCACCGCGGCCCCTTCCCCCTGGGAAGGATCGAGCACAAGGCCGGGCCCGAGTGCGAGGCAGCATCAGGGGGGGGGACCCAGGAGTTCCCGAAGAGGTGATGAATGGCGCTTTCAGGGGCCTGTCAGAAAGCCGGGCAGCAGATGGGGTGTGGAATGAATGAAGGGCAGTGTTGTTGATGGTTTGCTTTCTTTTT